ATGATACATAGCTATATATAAACTTCATAAAACAATCTGCTTGTAAATACATTCCTACACATACATACATATGTATGTATGACGTATGTACCTCCATGGGATGCATGCGTTTGACATTTACGCATGGAAATAGAAATACATAAATACAAACAACTTTTTGGTGTTGTGATGCATTGCCATTACAATTTGTATGAGTATATTCAACTCATCTGCCAAGCGCATGCTGTATAGGTACATATGTACATAGGTAGGTCCGCCTTTGCTACTTACGCAATAAATATGAAACCAAATGCCTTAAGCTTTATTAAAAATTTCTTTCTGTGTTTCTATTTTTACGCGCTTCAAAAATATTTAATACGCATCAAATAAAAATTTCACAACAAAAATCATGCATACCTACATACATACATGAACACTACAGTAAATACCAGCTGTATCTTCGTATGTATGTACATACTATGTATGTTTTATTTTTGCAAGCAGCGCATTGTCCCGAGCGAAATGTTCAAGCGTGCATTTTACTAGAAAGAAAGCAATATGCTTCGCACACTCCACCCCCAATAAAATGAGTAGCAAATAAACAATGCATTGATAATTCTACTCACACTTCGACATCAAACAATTATTGCGACTATGTATTAATACATGTGAACAAAGAAAGAAAAAAAGATCCGCCAAACACGTGGTTTCCAACTACATGGTCTCCGCGATTGTAGGCAGGGCCGGCTTGAGCTATCAAAGCGCACCGGGCGAATCAATCATATGGCGCCTTTTTTATTTTGTATTAACTATAAAGGCTGATTTTCCCTATGTCATATTTCGACGCCAAAATTTGTCAACATATTTTGACACAAGTAAGCGGGGTATTGTATATTGAAATATTCACCAAGTTTCTGATTTAGGTCACCTCAATGGACGAAGCTAGGAATCCTATAACAGGCTAGGCAATATTAGCCCTATCTGATACCCTCGTTTCTTTATGTTTAACAACAAAATTAATCTACGTTTCTCGCCACCGAACTGAGGAGTTTGTAACTAAATACCCAGAGGAGTGGTCAGTGTCTTAAGTGCCAATTAGCTAAGCCTTCAGGCACGTAAACGCAGCCTCTTTACTTATTTTCAACCATGTAGACCATTTTCTAAACTTTATTAAAACAAATTCACCGCGATAAAAGAATATTATTGCCGAGGCAGGCAAGGCCCTGCCAGTAACATATGTACCAGGGACCGAACATAACAATTATTGATGAAAACTGTCATGGAAAAATTCACTATGAAGTAAAT